TATCATAACACTTGGGTTAATTTTTATATGTTATATTTTGACTTTTGACTCTAAATAAATATTTTTCTATGGATAACTTCACCCTATGACTTCCACTTTAAGTAATTTCTATTAATATTATATGTTGCCTTGTTGGAGCATTAGGTCAAGGTTTGATGAAGTAATACAATTTCTCTCTCTTTATGCATTTTAAAATTATAGCAGGCTTTTGCTGCCTCAGGGAACATGACTTGACTGAAGGTGATATTATTATGTGATGCTGTGGAGTAGTTTAAAGATAAAAATCTGAAGTGCTCAGTGGATTTATCTTTGTAGTTCCAGCATGCTACAATCATTATTTCTCTTATTTGTATTGACATGCCAACTAATGACATTAATTAGCTTCAAAGATTTTCCTTGCTCTTGAAGTCTGCTGGGGTAGTTCAGCACCATTTCACAGAAATTTTATATAAAAAGTCTGTAAAGTCTATAAAAAAGAGAAAGTTGAGAACCTGTGTTGGGGCCTGGGGCAAGGGGTGGTGGTGCCTGAGAGGCCTAGGGCAGAGAGTATTGAGGCTCATGGAAAAGCAAAGAGGGAAGTTATCATTACTTGGGTTTTGACATCTATGAGAGGGCCACAAGGATGTTGAGTTACCAAAGAATGGATATTTAGGGAAGACACAGGTGGGGTGCGGGGCGGGGGAGAGGGGCAAGAAGGAAAGGAAGAGGTAGAAGGAAGCTGCATATGAGTCAACTGTTTATTACTCTTCGTCCTGGCAATAGGCTGAAATCTTTTTGCCTCAATTTTTGTTTACATTTGGCACGCTAATCAGCAGTGGGCAGATAGCTTTGGAAACTTATGCAAAATGCTTAAAATGTTAGTTAATTTGATAGTTATTATAATGCCCAGGAATGTCATTTAAAAATCCACATATAAGATGACCCATGGCAATTCAAACCTGTGTTGTTCAAGGGGCTTCTGTATTCTATGGATACCGTTCCCTTTACCCTCTCATGGTTTATTCGTGTGTTTTTTCACTCCCATATTTTCAGCGTTTTCCTCTTCACTAGCTCAAATCTGTATATTTTTTTCAATTCAAAAAAGACATTTTTTAGAGTGTTTTAGATTTACAGTAAAATTGAGAGCAATGTGCAGACATTTCTCTTATACCCTCTGATCCCATACATGTAGTCTCCCATTATCAACATCACTTAACAGAGGTATATTTGTTTACCAAAGATGCACCTACACTGATACATCATAAACACTCAAAGTCCATAGGTTACCTTCGGGTTCACTCTTGGTGTATATTATATGAATTTGGATAAAAGTATAATGACATATATCCATAATTATAATGTCAGCCAGAGTATCTTTTTTGTGCTCTGCCTATTCATTTTCTCTCCCCACCCCCAACCATGGGAACCACTGATTTTTTAAACAAATTGTCTCTATAGTTTGCCTGTTCCAGAATGGCATATGGTTGGAATCATACAATATGTAGCCTCTTCAGATTGGTTTCTTACACTTAGTAATATGCATTTATGGTTCTTTCATGTTTTCTTATGTGATAGTTCACTTATTTTATTTAACTTTTGTATTTTTTTAATTTTTCAGATTTATCTTTATTGTTGAAAGTATTACAGATGTATTACAGATGCTCCCCTTCTCACCTCCCCCCATTGAACTGACAAAAAAAATAGATGGAGAGACATGGAAGCATGCAACAGACTGAGGATTCTTTAAGGGAAGGGGGGAGGGAAGAGATCAAAGAATTTATATGCATATTTATTTTTTTAATTTATTTTTTAAATCCTCACCTGAAGATACGTTTTTATTGACTTTTAGAGAGAGAGGAAGGGGAAGAGAGAGAGAGAGAGAGAGAGAGAGAGAGAGAGAGAGAGAGAGAGAGAGAGAGAGAGAGAGAGAGAGAGAGAGAGAGAGAGAGAGAGAGAGAGAGAGAGAGAGAGAGAGAGAGAGAGATCATGTTCCAAATTCTGGCAATTATGAATAAAGTTGCTATAAACATCTATGTGCAGGTTTTGTGTGAACAGAAATTTTTCATTCTTTTGGGTAAATACCAAGGAGCATGATTGCTGCATCATATAGTAAGAGTAAGTTTAGTTTTGTAAGAAATTGTCAAACTGTCTTCCAAAGTGAATATACCATTTGTGTTCTCATGACCGAAAGTTCTGTTCCTTTACATTCTCACCAGCATTTGGTGTTGCCGGTGTTGTGGATTCTAGTAGGTGTATTGTGGTATCTCATTGTTGTTTCCGTTTGCATTTTCCTGATGACGGGATGTGGAGCATCTTGGCGTAGGCTTATTTCCCATCTGTATGTCTTCTTTGGTGAGGTGTCTTTGGTCCATTTTAAAATCAGGGTTTTTTTTGTTTTGTTGTTGTTTTGTTTTTTAATTGTTGAGTTTCCACTGCTATTTAAATAGTCAAATATCATGCATATAAGCATAACCAATGGAAACAAGACACTGGGGGGTAGGGGAGGCCGTGGGAAGGTCAAGCGGGGGAGGAAGGCGACATATGTAATACTCTTTGTAATACTTTAAGCAATAAAACAAAATAAAAATAGTCAAATATCTTATATGGTCAACAGCTACACAGCAGCAGCAGCAGTAGCAGCAGCAACAAACATGCACGCAACCCAAACCCCAAACCCACAGACCCCTCTCTGAACCCTACAAGCACTCTTACTCTGTCTCTGCTTTCTGTCCGACTTGCCGTCTTTTCATGCCGTCTTCATCCCACTGATGTTTGGCTTCTGTCTCCAGCTCCTTCTCTTTCCCAGTCTTAGAAAATGGCAGCAGGAGCCACTTAGTTGCCCCCACCTGAAATCTGGGAATTAATCTGATCTCCCCACTTTCATCACCTCTCCACATACAGATGAATCATCCAGTTCCATTAATTTGGTCACTGAACCCCTCTCAAGTCAATCCATTCACTTCTTTCCATCTTGATTGTCCCTTCCTAGTTTGGGAAGATACTGCATCTCTCTTTATGTGAAGGTGATGGGCTGGATGATGTGAGCTGCTGCATGCTGAGGTCATAAAGACTAGGAGTGCTGGTAGCTGCACAGGCAAAAGATCCAGTCCCTAGAGACTTCCTTGTTGTTTTAACACCGTCCTTGTGTGGGTTTCTTATTTGAAATCTTTACTTATGCATCTCTGTTGGTTCCCTTCTGTTTCCCTAGCATTTTCCTCGATTTATTAGGGACACCTCTAGGAGTTCTGAGCTCATGGCTGTCATTTAGCACTGTGGTGAGGTCCTGGCTCTGACCCTCCCTAGCTGGAACTATGGACTGCCTTGACTTTTATTTCCTTATCTGTAAAATAGGTGGAGACGCACACACTGTGTCTCCACCCTGTGTGCACAATCACCTAGCACAGTGGTCAGCAAACTCATTAGTCAACAGAGCCAAATATCAACAGTACGATTGAAATTTCTTTTGAGAGCCAAATTTTTAAAACTTAAACTATATAGGTAGGTACACTGTTATTAACTTAATTAGGGGACTCCTAAGGCTTAGGAAGAGCCACACTCAAGGGGCCAAAGAGCCGCATGTGGCTCGCGAGCCGCAGTTTGCCGACCATGGACCTAGGAGCTTTTAAAACTCCCAGCACCCAGGCTGCACCCAGACAGACCAATGCCATCAGAATCCTGATGCTGAGGTCTCAGGATTGTTTAAAGCTACTCCTAATGATCCCTATGTGCAGACGAGATTGAGAATCAGTGACTTAGTAATTTTAAAGGGTCTTTGCTCTTCTGTCATTTCATGTTTTTATCATGCCCCAATCCCACGTCGAGATTTCTCTTTTAATGTTTTTACAAAGTTGGGAAGAAATAGCTGTGAAGTCCCCCCCTCCCTTTTCCATCTGCTATTTGTTCTTATTTACATACGATGGAACCCAGCCCACTGATTTACAGCTCTGGTTCCCTTACAACTGTTATTGAACTGAAAACATAGCTGAAAACTTATTAAACAGGAAAAAATTGTTTTGAGCTTTGTGCTGACAATTCATTATAGAACTAAGGGAATATCTAAACCTTTTCCCTTCTAGAATTAATTCTAAAAATGAATTTACAACCCCATAATATCAAATGAAAAATTTAATTCTGGTGCTAAACCCAGTATGTATTCTTTCTTGAATCTCCCATTGAGAAAACTGGAGCATCTCAGAAGGAGAATGAGATTTTTGAGAAGTTTACATCCATAACCAGGCAAGGTCTCTGAAGTTAAGTGTTAGCATCTCCCTCCCCCACCCCCTCTGCTGATGCACAATCACACACTGGAAGAAAAGCCAGGGAAAACACATCATGAACATGGGTGTGGTCTCATTGATGAAACATTTTGGGACAAGCATTTCAGAAGAGAGCTTTTCAGTAGCACCCACCCCTTAAACCTACCATTTGAGATTTGAAATAACATAAGACTTTTTTTTTGAGCTGCAAGGGAGTCGAGAGGGGAGTAGGAAGACAACAGAGAAGAGCCAAATATTTGGTTTAACCACTGGCACTAAATTTGGAAAGAACTGGGGTTCTGACATAAGTGTGATTTATATTGGAGATGTATACTTTGGGGTGCTAGTTCTCCCTGCCTGTTTCTTTGTTAATAGCATCTCTTTCAACTGTTCACTCACTTTATTCTGCAATACCTGTCTGAAATATACAGCCCAGGCCTTCGCTTCTCTCTCTCAAACCCTTATTAAAGGGCCTTTGCTTCTCTCTCTCAAACCCTTATTAAAGGTAGCAACTATTGAAATTAGTTGCTACCTTGATAAGGATGGGCTAATAATTGTTCTCATGGAAAGAAATGGTTAATTATCTCTAGCAGTGGGGGGAAAAAGATTTTTTCTAGGAAAGGTAATGTTGATAGAGCATAGAGTCAAGCTGAAAGGAGCCTCTTTCCCACCATGTTTAGCATTGAACTTTCTCATGGCCTAGAAAACCTGGTCTGAAGCTTCTTGATTTTTTAATCTGCATCTTCGGGTATTTTTTTTTGATAGATGGAAGAAATGATTGAGGGTGTTCGCTGGGCCTTTATTGACATGCTGGAGAAGGAAAATGAGTGGATGGATGCAGGAACCAAAAAGAAAGCCAAAGAAAAGGTAAGGATTCCAGTTTATGAAGAAAAAAAAGAAACCAAACCCTGGCTTTCGCTTTAATGGATTGTCATGCTCAACATTATGTGGTTGATTTTTATATTGACTGAGCTGTTGACTCCGAATGACCCTAAAGTTGGGTTTCTCTTTTGGGATGAATACATAGATCTCATCACCAGCAGGTAAGAGAAAATAAGATGACTTTTTCTTTTTTGAACTACATTTTTAAACACCTTGTAATTCAGCCTTTCCTTCTCTCCTCCTAATTGCCATCTATAAGAGACACATGGCTTGCTGCCCAGCGCATTTTTGCCATAAACCATCATTGGCTATGGCAGAATGCAGAGCCTCGGGGAACAATTGGCAGAAAAGCCCTCAAGGCACAAAGGAGAAAAATCCACATTGGCCATGTGTCCTTCTGTTCGTGCATGATGTGTGCAAATGTCCTCAGGCAAACCCTTTCCTGTAACCTAGCAGATTTACTTTCTAACCCATCATTTTGCACAAATGATCCGCCTAGCACGCATGCAAACTGGAGACCAGTGGTAGGCCATTGTGGAGGAATAGAAAAAAAGATTTCCTAATAGAAGTGGACACTTGCTAGGCCTTGTAAGTTTCTGGTACTGTGCAACCAGATAAGGGAATAAATTAGGAAAGTATCAGCAGCCATGCTTTTGAAAATAAAGAATGGGACCCACCTTGAATTCTAGTTATTCTGATGGAGCTGGAACTCAAGTGGGTAGGCAATCCCTGCTACATTCTGGGAAACTCTGAAATTAGCAGCATCTTTTCTTTAGAGATGTATTTTTGAGATTTTTCTGATGATAGCGATCACCTGGGGTGTCTGGATTCTCTATAGCTTTCTGAGCTCCTCCCCAACAAGATCTGATTTAGTGAATTGAGGGTGAGGTCTGAACATTTGTGATAACCAGTCAGCCTGGTGATTCTTATTACTAGGCAGGCCCAAGGAATACCGCTTAGAGTCATATTGAGTTATGCTGTGCACAAATATTTTTGCCGTCTGGTCAAGAAACAAAGAGGGAGAGGACTTTTAGAGCCGTGAGACTACTCTGTATGATGCTGTAATGGTGAATACATGTCATGATCCATTTGTCCAAACTCATAGAATGTACAACATTCTGTGAATCCTAATGTAACCTATGGACTCTGGGTGATGATGATGTGTCAGTGTAGGTTCATTGATTGTAAGAAATGTACCACTCTGGTGCAGATGTTGTTAATGGGGCAGGTATGCAGGTGTGAGGGCAGAGGGTGTATGGGAAATCTGTGAACTTTCTGTTCAATTTTGCTGTGAACCTAAGTCTGCTCTAAAAAAATAAAGTCCATTAAAAAAGGGCAGCATTCTGGGAATGCTTAGCCTTGTTGAAATGAGAATATGCAGAGGTTTAGCAAGGATATTTCCTAGAGCTTAAATACTCCTGAGATGGATAAACATTGCCATAGATATTTTTATCAATAGACAGGAAAAGGCTGTTCAGTGTTTACAGTGAAGAAAGAATTGGACAGCGGGGGTTGGGGGTGTTGGAGGAAGACAAAGGGCAAGTTTGATTTTTTTCCACTTTCAGAATCTGTCAAAGCTGTCTTAAGTCATGTAAGGCACAAGCTGATGAAGGCAGGAGCATGCAGGCTGTGAGGAGAAGCTTTCCAGATGGTAGATGCAACTTTCAGCACCAACATACTGTTATTTTTTTTTAAGGCTTCATTTATTTGTAGGCTAGCTTGTGCTATCTGGAATAGGATGTTTTTTTTCTACTGGGTAGATCACAGCTCAGTGCATTGTGGGCTCTTGATCCTCACCTGACCCCTTGTGGACTAAGGGTCATCAGTGTGGAGAATGGGGTAGTGTGGTGAGGGGTGTGTGCCTGTTATGAATGGATGGGTACTAGGTGAATGTTCTGGGTTCTGCAGTCAGTTCTTTGGGAAGTATAGCTGGCCATTGCCCCACAGAGATCTTCTGAGTTGCATAAGGGAGTGGATGCCTTACCTTTAGGCCTTCAAGGCAAGTGGCCCATTGGTTCTTTAAGGAGGATTGTTCTCAGTCTTATTATTAGGCATGTTCATGCTTGCCCCCCTGAGTTGCTTTTCACTCTTCAGTTTTTCTTCTAAAGGTACAGTAAGTCCCGAGTTAAGGTCATCAGTAGGTGCTGCAACTTTAAATGATACGATATATAATGAGATCAGTTTTACCATAGGTTAATCGATATACACAAGAGTTAAGGTCCTGTGGTATCTCATCAATGTTCTAACAAAACGATGTTAGTGAAATAATGTTATCTGAGGACCTGTTGTGTTCTTTGAACACTCCAGGCTGTCTTTGAGCTGAGTTCAACCTGCCAGGAGTGCAGATATCAAAGGCAGTTGTTCTACTGGATCTCATCCGGTTCCCCGAGTATATCTGTATTTCAGAGTTCAGAGCAGTTCCTTTAATGAAAGGCAAGAAAGAGGGAACGTGGTCCAAGAATTTCCAACAGTTTTCAAAGGCAGGCCAGACCCTGGACCCCAGGAGATGGAGATTTTTTCCTCCGAATTCAATGAACATGCAGTTCTAGAAATGACCTCTGGGTGGAGCTCGTAGTACTCACAAAGACAACATTTAGACAGCTGAAGGCTTTTATGCAGCTTTTCTGCTCTGGGTTGTTTTTGAAAAATTATTTTTTTCTTGCCTTCTTTCTCTGCTGTCCTCGATTTGATTGCCTTTTAATAGTCAACAAGCAAGGAGAGGCTCAGCCTAATAATTCCTTGAATCTTAGAAGGAACTCTCTGACAATCTTAGGGCTTTGTCTTTCTGATACTAAGTAGCCCCTGCATTAAGACAGAATTTGCCTACATCGGAAGTGGAGGTGAAAAATACTCCTGCTCTTCCTGGTATGACTTGGCACTGTTCTGTAGGCATGTGTTGTATGCAGTATATCACCCAAGTGGAAGATTTCTCATCAATAATAGTGCCCACACGGGCCAATGCTGAGTCACTTGGCAACCCATTGGGAAAAGGGAAAAAAATGTTCCGAATTGCAAGGGGAGAAGCTTTTCTTTCCTTTACTGTTCAGCTCTGGACTGCAGCTAATTACAGTGTCTCCTAAGGGGTGTTGACCTCAGCATTCCCTAGTGACTGGCCTCCTGAACTGGGAGGGTCCAGATACCTGCAGTGGTCTGAGGCCTAACACCTTGGTCTCAAAATGGAAGTGTGGGGATGTGGCTTTGTCATGCTTTGGCTAGGGGTGATCACTGTAAAAGGTAAACAAGGATGCCTCTGTTCCTGTAAAGGATAAAGTTGTTATCTCCATCTCCCTGCCTTCCCTCTCATCTCTTAAGAGGTCACGAGTGATTTTGTGTTGTGAAACCGACAGTGTAGGTTTCAGTTGGGAGTTTAATATGGTGAAATAAGCACCAATTTTTATTTAGGATTCTGTGTTCCCTGCCAGCCTGTGCTCTTATTGTAAACAAGCCGCAAAAGACAGGAGGCCTGCTATTTTTTGGATTAGCATAGATGTTGAGTGCATGTAAAGTGATACAGATTATTTTGGGGTTGTCTTCTGAAAGATTTACTTTTTCCAGAATTGAGCAGGAGGATCTCAAGGTCACTGCATAATGATTCTGAGGTGTGGCAGGAAGGGACACAGCACTGCCTTCCACTGTCCTGGTAGTGGGGGCAAGGCTTCTGCTGGAGAGCTCTGTGTCAGATCAGGAGGAGCAGCTTCCTGAACTCTGTTGGTCACCAGTTGGATTTGATTCTGTAGCCAGAAGCTGGATCGTTTTAGGAAAATTGTTTTTACTCTTTGCCCTGAAACCTATGCTTGCCAAGCTAGCCTCAGAGAAAAAAAACCCGGATGGGACCCCTAGGGGAGCTATATCCTCAGGATGCTGTGAGCGGCTTTAACCTTGGCAGGTGTGAGGGTTCCTGCTGCATGGCCCCATTTCCACAGTCATGTGACTCCTGGGCACAGGCTTTTGGTGAGGTGGGAAAAATGTTCCTATAGAGAGGACAAACAAAAGTGTATCTCATCTGATTGGCTTTGTCTCTGTTGGAGAGGAAATAATGTTTCCTTTTGCCATTCTAAGTTCTTGACTATAACAAAATATCTATATTATAAAAAGCCACTGGCCGTAACGCTGTAACGACCAAATGACTTGTCACCAGGAGGTACATAGAGCACCCCTCGGTTCCTCCCCCCTGGCCTGCGAGCAGCGGCTCTTGCAGCATGGCGGGGTGCCTCTTGCGATTTTGCGCGCTGGGCTGCTAGTAGGTTAATAAGAGAAAAACAAACAGAAGTTGATTAACATGTAAATCTCATACATATCTGAGAGAAACTCAGAGAAATGAGTAACTCAAAGAGGTGGCTTAGAACTCGGGCTTATATGGCATCTTCCACAAAGAACAATAAATTTGTAGAGAAAAATGACAAGACAAAGGAAAGTGGTTTTAGACTTCCAAATGTGGCAGTTGTGGGAAGGCAAATATATTGGAAACTAATGGTAGGTACAGGTTAGTTAGTGAAATTTGTTACATAGATTCCTCTGGTATATCTCCAGGCTGTTAGGGTCTAAAGTTGTCTCCATTGATTCACTTTTATCCTTCCTGGTATAGAGGGGAGGAGGACAACTGTGAAAATTTATGTCTTGCAAATTGGAGGAGAGCAGGGAACTTATACCTGTTGCTTCTGTTACCTTCAGTTCAAAATAATTTTCATGTTTAAGAGACATATTTTGTGGTGACATTCTGGTTTCCTTCATCTTTAAGCTCTGCCTGACTCTAGATTTTAGATTTCCCCCAAGTATCCAGTCTGTATCAACCGTGTTGGGCCCACATCCCGAGCCCGGTGGTTTTCAAGTGCTTCTAGACCAGCAGCAGTGGCCTCACCTGGGAACTTGTTAGAGATGCAAATTCTTGGGTCTCTGCCCCGG